ACCACCTTTGGTGTAAATGCTCATACAGTAAGGACTAGTAATAGGAATTCTGAGTTTCTTTTTCCTTTTTAATATCTAAAATTTGCTTCTGTTTAAACCTTAGTCCAAATTTGCAATAAAGTGTAAAGTAAAAATGGCAAATCCCTCAGAAAAAGCCAATGGGAAGGTGGACCATTTTAGTTTCTTGTAACATTTAAACAGATTGATTGTCACCATATCCTAAAAACGAGCATCTACCTTCAGGGAAAGCTGTAAGTTTGCTGCTGATATTCTATCCTTTTTGAGTACAACAAAGGAATTTTTCCTGACATAACCACACATATCTGCACATAACTTTTACCACAGAGCATAGTAATACTCTGCAGGGCTTTCATGGAGTATAATAATAATAAAAATACTCTGTTTACATGCACTTTCATTATTTTGTAGCAGGAAAACTGAAGCAATATAAATTCATTTTTATAGTGGTTGGTGTCAGTTAATACATTGTTCTTCCAGAAGTAATGTATTGTAATATAAATTTCCCATTAAGTCAGTGTAGAACAACATTTAAGTGACACTATTTGTGAATAACAATTTATTTGTGACTGTGACATAATTTAATGCAAATATATTGCTCTAAAATGAATTGATCTGATGTCAGATTGATGGTTTGTACCTTTATTACGCATAGTATTTATAGAAGTCCACCATCTCACATGCATATAGAAGAAAAGATTATCAGCTATTCACTATATGAACATATAGCTTCATTAAAAGGCTTTGGAGATGCATGTAAATCATGACAGAAGAGCTTGTGTTGTTTGCCCTATAAAACCTTGCTAAGATTCCATTTGAATTTATTTCATGTTCCTTTTATATATATGTGCATTTTATATCTGTATACTTTTTATAGGATTTTTTTTCTTTGCTTAAGTTCCAAATCTCTTCTGAAACCCATATAGTTAAACCCACCTAAATAATTTCACTTCTTCAGATATGTGTAAAGCCTGACTTGTTGGAAGTTTAGCATAGAATAATGATGAGAAGGAAAGTGTATTTACTGTTGCTGTCACTGAGACATGGTGGGTTCACAGATGGAAAGCAGATGGAAAGAAAATCAATGGGGCCAGAATCTTTTTAAAGAGAGAGTGCAGAGGCCAAAAGCTCAGAGTCCAACTCTTCTAGAAGCTACTTATACTTTTTGAATTATTCAGATACCTAGCCAATGACAGAAAATGTTAATTAATATACTTCACCTTAATATACACTTGTAGTAGTCTTGAGTGTTTTGATTTAAATGTAAACTGTCTGTGAGTCCAAAGGGAAGAGTGAGAGCTTGTCTAGAAAGAAGAATGGGAGCTGAGAAGGCAGCAAAGAGATGCTGTGGTGAGTGACCAGGCTTTTCAAGATGCTCACACAAGCCTGAAAAAAGTCTTTTGGGCTGTTTGTGAGGAGGTTTCTGAAAGCTATTATCAACACAAGGATGACATTTATCTGGCTATTCTTTACCTGTGTCCTTGCTAAACATCATATAAACAGAAGACTTTTAACACTGTTTTGGAAAGATGAAGTTTAAGGTATTTCTGAAGTCTTTAGTCTTGCTGTAAGTCACAGGGAATATACAGCAATGGCTGCCTACAAGAAGAAATGCAGTTTGAGTCTTCAAGGTAGTGTTACTGGCAGGTTACCTTGCTGTTCTTTTGTTTGTGGTTTTTGTTTGTTTGGGGAATTTTTTACTAATTTTGGCCCTTTTAAAATTTCTCTTTGTAACTAATTCTGATCTGAGAACAAAGACATAAAAACACTAATGAGGATGTGTAAGAGCCCAGGACTGGAGCAATAAGCTCAACCAGGAGTTCTACTTTTAAAAGTATAAAAGGCTCAAAAAAATTTGCCCACCAAATATTTTGAAGAGCCCTTGGTCCTTTAATACCTTGAGGCAGCGTAAAGAGATGACGCAGCACATATTTTCCAGGAGATACTTTTACTGATAACTTTAGAAAATAAGGGAACTTGGCAAAAATTTAAAGGGTAATGTGCAACCAAAACAGAGTATTCCACAAACATATGACTTAGCACATGCCAACCCATACAACTTAGCAAAATCCAACCCATTCTGTCCCAAGTCACCCGAAATATTAAGAAAGGAGATTAGGAGAAGGAGAAGAATGAGAAGGAGTAAAGAAAGAGAGAGAAAAGAGATTAAGATAAGGTCATAGCTACCACCAGAGAGTCCTGTGCAAGTCAAGATGCCACGGAGCAGGTGGCAGGTCTCAAGCAAAATGGTGGCCATGTGCTGCTGTTTTTACGTGCTTTGGCCCTCTGTGGCCACCCCTCCCAGGTGTGACTTCCAACCCACTGGCCACTCTGGGGCTCCAGGGTGGGGTGAGGGGTGGTGCTCCCACTATGTGAACCAATCTAAGGCTGGGTTAGGGGTTCCTGTGCGCTGTGCTCCTGGGCTGCCTTTGACTGACAGCTGATCCAGGGTTACCCCAGAGGTCTCCCAGGGGCTGACATGTGGGATACAGCATTACCTCACCTCTGTGAGATTCAACCTGTCTCTTCCCTCCACATGCACACACTTGAGTTGGTTCTGACCTAATAATATAATAATCCTGTGTCTCACACAATGATAAGGCATTATTTTGACTAACCTGACGATACTGTGTTCTTAAAGAAAATTCTCTTGCTCCTACTTTTCTCTTTTCTCGCTTCTCTTTACCCCTTTGGTAAAGCAGTGCAATTTAAAGGCATTTTTACTGTGGTCGAACTGAAAAATGGAAAGGAAAAAATAATTTCAGACTATCCAAATGTGTCCTTCAAACTATATTCCTTTTTCTAGGCACTTGAACTTTTATTTGCTTCTCTGTTTTAATTCCAGTTGAGCTCTCAAATAACTTGGGCTGATCCCAAGCTTCATTTTTATGAATTTGTGGGGATGGGTGAGGTTTGTGGTAATTACTGTTCTCTTTTTCTACATGCTCGCCCTCTTTTACTTTCTGACCTTATTTTAACTGGGATTCCCAGCAAGCTGCTCATTGCTGTGCTAGGTTCTGTTCTTGTACCTTTCCAATGCCAGCGAGAAGAGAAGTATGAAACTAACTGGGATCATTCAGTTCCAGTCACTTTAACATTGCTGCTGCTGCCTCAAGTATCAAATTTTATATTGGAGGAGAAGAAAACACAGTCATGGAATGTGATGAGCCTAGAGGCATCTCCTACTTTGGTGTTTGAACAGAAGGTGTAGGAGGCTTTATGCAACCCTCAGATGTAGAATCCTGCACTCAGTTTAAACTGAATATGAAACTTTTTTTTTTTTAGTATTTGGCATGTTTTTGAGCAATCTTTTTACCTCACATACTTTGATGTGCTTTAATGTCAAATTTCATATTCTGTGTAGGCCCTGATGTGTACGCATGTTCTTTCCCAAACACAGATATACATGTGCACACACAGACATGTGAATGTGTCTTCCAAGGAAAATGTCATGTGCGTCAGAGTATATTCATAACTCTTTTGAGATGTAAGGAAAAACAGTAGAGCATTCCCATGAAAGTGTTACTTGCAGCAGGTCTCTCAATGACATGAAGCGCACAGAGGGGCTGTCATGGCATGTCAGCCTTCATCCACTGCCTAGTCTATATGGAGACACTGAAGCAAAGCACCAGCCTGTGATTTTAGTTAACTTCTCCTAAGTCTTCATTTGACAGGTAGATAAACAGGTTCTGTGAAGGTCTCATCTGTTTACTTCTGGGCTTTTTTGACAGCATGAATTTATTATTAATGTGCCAAATTATGTTGTTTGTACCAAGGGTCAGATCATCATTTATAGCTCGCATGTAGACTGAAATAAATCCTACTGTTGGGACAGACCACTCCTTTCTGCTGCTAGCACACTGCCTGACACTTTCCTTGATCCAGTAGGTTTTAATTTATTTTTACTCTGTGCAAAACTTTAGTCTGCTTTGGTAATGAATACCCAAGAAGGGGAGATAAATATATGTAAATAAATTAAATAGAGGTAACATTTTTGGTTGAAAGACTGCAAATTTGGGCAACTTTTTCTTTTGGGGGGGAGGAGGGTTTTTGTGGTTGAAATTTCTTCAGGCACTCTTATCCTCATCCCCTTCTTTCAGCATGTATTTGTTCAAATCTAGATGAGCTGCTGTGTTAAAAAGGAATCATATGTGTAGGCAAAAGTATCTTGTAAGCTGTAATGCAAGATAACTACGCACTTCTGCCTGGTGTTGATGGGATTACCAGGTGCTGTGAATCACTTGGGCAAAGAGGCCTGAGGTGACATATCAGACTTGTTATTACACCAGGGATATTGGTTCCATTTAAAATAAGAAAGTAGGGTCATGTAAGTGCGGTTCAGTTCAAAGCTTTGAAAACATCTCTTATTGGAAAGATCTGAAGTAAGGAGTCTTGATCCTTCTGCAGCATAAAGAGGTCAGCGGCTGAAAGAAGTGGCAGCTGAGCTGGTGTGTTTGCCCCATGTCCAGCCCTCTGTTTAAATCAGGATTTCTTCTAAAACAACAAATCATAAGAAGGGGTGATTGAGAACTATTTTATAAGAATATCTCTCCTTTGGAAGAAGCTGTATAACAGAAACTCTTCCTTGCCTTTGATTTTTCTCTTTGAAAGAAATTTAAAACCATGTAGTCCTTGTCCTAAGATATGCTTATTACAGAGTTCAGTGATGTTTTCTGAAGTTGTAATCTGGCTTGAACTGTTTCCCCTGGCTATACTACAAGACAATTTGACTTTGTATGAAACTCTGAAAACTGTATATGCAGATGATGTTAACGTTTCAACTTCATGCTCTCTGCACTGCAAATGACAAAAAACACTTTGAAGTGCTTTTTCATACTCTCTACCACTGCCTTTTGCATGCAATGAATATTAATAAAAATAGACCTGCGTTCACTTTTGGTTTCAATAGGATGTTCTGTCATCTCTTTAGTTTTTCTGTCTCTTGAATTTCCTATTTTTAAAGTTTTTTATTTTGTTTGTAGTGCCAGGCCCTATACCTGCCAAATCAGTGAAAGGAACTCCTTTTGAAGATAAGATCTTCCTCAACTGGAAGGAACCTGTGGATCCAAATGGCATCATTACTCAGTATGAGGTAATCATTAAACACCTAATAAGCACAGGATGGGACTAGGGAGGTGCATCAAGAGAGATGGCTGACAGTGGGTGTTTATGCTCTTGTAGGCAACTATTCAATGATATGCTCCTTTCATTTACAGAATACATGATTTTGTGTAGTGATTAGATATTCAAAATTCGTAATTATGGTGCATATGTTGTTCGCTGTCCAGCCCTGTCAAGTGCCTTTGGCATGTGAGTATAAGTGCCTTAAAAATCTTGTATTGTTGATATACACTGTTCCAAAGCCATAACAGCCATGATCTGTGAAATCTTCTTGTTGGGAGAGAAGGTTATGTGAAAAGTAAGGTGGTTATTAAATTTGAAGCCATGTTTTTTTTAGCTTTGTTAGCTCTTCAGATATCATCCTTCAAGGAAATTTCCATGTATATTCTGTTTAAAGTATATTTAATATATGATCCTTCTGGGGACCTGCACAGTAGGTTAGCAGGTAACACTAGCTGATTTGAGCAACAAACACTACGCTCTCCAGCACTCCTTTTTTAAAGGAACAGAAGGTATACCTTTGTTTACTAGTGAATTACAGAAAGGCAAATCAACTAAGCTAACAAAACCCCATAAATATTTTGTTTATTTATTTATTGATGCTAAGAAAGTTCTTTAACCCAGGTGGGCAGCTCAACCCCACTCAGCTGTTCACTCACTTCCCTGCAGTGGGATGGGGGTAGAATTGAAAAGAGCAAAAGTGCAAGCTTTTGTATTTTAATCACAAATCCAAAACACAGCACCACATGAGCCATGATGAATAAAATTAATCTATCCCAGTCAAAACTAGTACATCAAGATATCATATCTAGCTTTAAAAATATTAGCTTGGTTTGAATAGCATATAAATATGATTATTAGAAGGGGAGAGGGAAAAGTATCACATGAAGTGAAAAATAAAGGGCATTAGTGGAAATGGAGAAGGTGGAGAAGTGTCCAAAATTTAATGTAACAGTGAAATTTTCCATACGTGAACGAATATCACAGAGAAAGAGAGATGAAGGGCACCTGCACAGCCTTTCAAGTGAAGCAGAGTCTTCAATAATACACATCAAGTCCTCAGTGGTTTAGTGGTGGACTTATCAGTGTAGAATTAATGGAACTAATGGTCTTAAAGATCTTTTTCAGCCTAAATGATTCTATGATTCTGTGGTATCCCCAAGGTAGACGGGTAGCTCTATGAGCATGTGTCTTTTGTTTCCACTCCAGCCAAGCTAACCTAATCCCCTTGTGCCAAAACTTGTAACAGTTGTTACTAAAATAATGGTTTTCACAGGTCAGCTATAGCAGTATACAGTCGTTTGATCCTGCAGTTCCAGTTGCAGGACCTCCACAAACCGTGTCGAAGCTGTGGAACAGCACACACCACGTCTTCTCACATTTGCACCCCGGTACTACTTACCAGTTCTTTATACGTGCAAGCACTGTCAAAGGGTTTGGACCAGCAACTACAATCAATGTAACAACCAACATCTCAGGTAAAAAGCAAACAACAACATAAAATAAAAACAGCGAAGGAGAGAGAGGAAAATGTATTGTGAATATTTGACCGTGAAAATTCGTGAAATGCTAAAGAAAACCCCCCAGAAAATCCTACTGTGTTGTTAAATTATATTACTAAAAATGTTTTAGAGTGTGTTTGCCACACAGTAGTGTAAGTTCAGGGATAAATCCTTGTATGAGGTGGAAATTGCATAGGTGTAGTTGTTAACTGTTCAGGTTTTTTTTATGTAATCTAGTACTTTCATCTAATAATTTTGAACTGCTGTATAAACCTTAACTAATTAACCCTTCCAGCACTCCACAGGTCACTAAAAACTGTATTTGTTTTGCATATTAATAAAGTCATATACAGAAAATTAACTGACTCTCTGAGGGTGTCACCACTTAGGAACATGCAGCTATAACATAATCAGGGCAGCTGGGACAAAGTGGGAACTTCTTTTGCCAGATTTATATAGCTCTGCTTCCTTGTGCCTTTATTCACTTATTTTAGTGCACCAAGATTGACGTTATTTGTCTTAATAATGCACTGCAAATTCTAGAAGACAGTAATGTCAAATGGAATGCTTTAATATTTTTATTTTCTTAAATTTCATTGTTATTCTCACAAAATAAGATAGTGGGTTATGCATTTGATAGCAGAAAATAAGTCAATGCTATATTTAGAGAGACTGTTGATTTTGTGACATGGTGACTTCAGAGCTTGGCAGAGATCAAAGAAATCAGTCATTTAGAAATTTAAACAGCACAAAGCAGCTATTTTCCTTATTATCTGCCATAATGACACTTAGATTGTTCTGTAAAGGGAAGTTAATAATGTATCAGAATGCACCTATGATTTTTATGGGAAACTACTCATGTAGTCTCCTCACCCAGTTCCTGAAAACATGCACAAAAATCAAAATGCGAGAAAATTCAAGGCAGAACTCCTTGAATTATGTATCAAGTTAAATGCTGTAGTTGTCGTAGTTAAGTGGAACAGCTTGTTGAATTCCACCCCAGCACATAACCACTAGCACTCCTCACTCCCCAGTCCCTTCAAAAGAACCCAACCAAGGCACCAAAAAACCTCAAATGATGTGTTCTGTTCTGTTTATGTAGCTGTTAGGTTGTTTTGAAGTCTGATATTTTACTCAAGTTTTTTTAAGGTCCTTATGATTCTTTACAACAATATCCTGTAGTATTTCAGTATTTTGAGAAATAAGTGCTTCAACATGTTTGGATTATTTAGGACTACAATGTGTTCAGGCTTCTTCAAATATGCCTTCTTTTTCCACACAGAAATTGGAGGAATTTTGTCCAGAATCCAGTATAGCACACTTTCTAGACACAGTATGGATCTGTTAGTTGGCAAGATGTGGTTTTTTACTAGGAAAGCTTAAAGGCAGACTGTGAAACCCCTCATATCTGAATTTCAGCCTTTTTGTTTTTCATCTTGCTTTATGCTGAAGTGTTGTCTAGTTTCGCTCTGCATAGCTGATACTTTATATGAAGCAATGCATGTTCAGAAAATGCTAGCTTTAGTTTAGTGAGGAGTGAAATTATTCCTTTTAGTCAAACTTACAAGTGGTTGCTGTGATTCTAGTGAACATGGTGTAAACAGTAATTTTAAAATTAACATTAAATAAACATTAATTCTATAAAAAAGTATTTCCTGAAAGAAGAGCAGATTTTGTGTTCATCTAGGATCTGGGACTAATGAAGCAAGACTTTTAATCTTTCAATACTCTTCTATCAATTGATATATTTTTGTAAAATTATTATGATTTAAGTGATTGACAACCTGCTAGAAAACCTTGTTTTGTGAAATTTCATTTTGAAATATACCAGCATCATTAATGATTTTATAAAAATACAGCCACATATGAAAAACCCCCATACAGATAGTTTTTAAACTTGTGAAAAATTAGTGATTAATAGAAATCTGTTGTTTTCTAATACAGAGAAAATCCTATTTCTTTCCTTGCACCAAGGCTGAAGTCAGCAACAGTATTACCAGGGAGGACTGTAACATGTGGTAGATTAAAGTTGGATGGTTGAAGTAACCACCAACACCAGCCATCCAACCCACAGCAAATATTGCTGCCTTGAGGCCTGGCAAACTGCCTCTAGTTTGGATGCTGATTTTGTTTTTTTCATAGTGGTTCAGAAGCTGTTTAATAAGCAGCTTGGCCATACATTGTTAAGAATGGGCATGGGAAGAGATTCTTCCATCCAGTTCTAGTCCACCAACGCATGTCTATGCAAGCCCAATTTTCCTGCACTCTGGTTGGTATTGGCATTGTCTCCAATGACATTGAAGAGGAAATGTGAAAGGTTCTTAAATTGTTAGAGGAGGAAAAAGAGACATGGTAGAGGTTGGGTCTTTGACATGATAACTGTAGTTTTTTGTAGGGTAGAAAGCGTGATGCCAAAATGTTTTTTTTTTTTTTTGTAGTTTTAGGGCTTTTTTGTAGTTTTTGTTTTCTTGGTAGTCACTTCCTCTGTCCTTGAATAAACCTGTTTAAGTTCATAGGTGTTGTGATTTGAGGGGAAGCAGCTAGGGATGGGGTTATGGGTTGGTGAAGTCCCATTCATTCTGTAGTAAAAGACCGTGCCTGACTCGAAAAATCATTTAAAAATACTCATATTGCTGATAAAGATTCTGTCTTTGTACTATATTGTACAGACACATTCTCATGGAAATTCAGAATGTTATCACTGATTTCTTTCTTGTTCTTTTCCTTCCCACTCAACATTAATCAGCTCCCACTTTACCGGACTATGAAGGAGTCGATGCATCTCTCAACGAAACTGCTACTACAATAACTGTACTCTTGAGACCAGCACAGGCCAAAGGTGCACCTATCAGGTAAAAAAAAAAAAAAAAAAAATTAAAAAATCAAGAAGAGTTTGGTTTTTAGTTGCATATATGCTGTCTCGCAGTACATAGAGCTGTATATTTCAAAGTGATATTTATTTAACATTACTATTGTTTTTCTTACCTGTACTGAACTTGCCAACAGATGTGTAATTAAAAAAACCTCTTGGTTTGGCAGGGTTTTTTGGAATCATTAAGCTATCTGTCCTGTTTGATTTAGGTTCCCCAGGACCACCTTCTAACCACTATAATTTAATTTTACTTTCTCACAGTGTCTCTGAATTATGAGGTTGAAAGGTGTTTGTCAGAAAATAGATTTGAAAATAACACTTCCTTTCCATTGCTTCAAATCATCTAGTCTGTAGCATATATGTATGATTGGAAAACTGGAAATTGGAAGCTCAGGGGAAATGGTAAAATAATAGTGATGAATACAAACTAGTTGACCTTTTTTTCTGAGAGTGCTTTTTACTAGGAATCATGTTGCAAGCTATTAAATTTTACTTGGCGTGTCCCATAATCATATTAAAATGTTTCATTTATGTTAACTTTGAAGGGTCTTTCTCTTTCTGCTCTCTGTTGAGAGATAATTTAATTCTGTTTGCAAAGATTAGTCCATATCCTTCTCTTTACTTCTTGTTAGTGTAAAAATTTTGTGATAATATTTGATTCCATTTGTGTTTTACTGATGTGGCTGCATCAGCAATATTCAGGGGCAGGGTTGACTAATTGGGGGTTAATTAGCTGCTGAGCATCAGAAGGTTTTCTTGCTATTACCCTTGTGACATTTTAGAGAAATGCAGGCTAATGCATTTCATTCTGTGTTATGCGAAGTCAGTTATCGTGGCTCAGCTGATTTCAAGTCGTGTGTCCAAGCCCTAAAAGCAGAGGAAAATTAACTGTTTCTTGAGTCAGTTTCCATTAAGAAGAATGTATGTTTTACGTGGATGTTGTGAGGATGAGGCATGTATTTATAAGCATTTCTATGTGCTTATCGTATAGTCACCCTTATGCTCGATATGATCAAGTTATTTATTTATATTCTGTCATAGAAGATAATTATTATCTTTAATTATAATAAACTTAATTATTTCCTATTAAGTTCATCCCTTTAATAGGAGATTTTGATGTGTTATATTTAAGTTGTAATCCAATGCATCATTAGTTTCTGAATGATTACCCTGGGGCAATCCTAGGATTTTTGGGGAACAGGAATACTTTCAGTACTGGACTTGGATTCTTAAAATAGGGATTTATTTTTTTTTAATTAATGCATTAATTAAGACAGAAACCAAAATTGTGATCTGAAAATGCTCCCAAGTTACACAGGCACTTAAGCTCACTATACGTCTTTGTAGGTGCTTTTAAAGACTTTGTATACAAAGTCTTTGTAGGTGCTTTTAAAGACTTCAGGTGCCCTGCTGCTGGCCTTCAACAAAGCTGTGTATTTTGGGGAAATGTGATATCTATCTCTCATGTAATCCATGTCACATCCTTTCAGTCTTGTGTCTGGTCACCTGAGGGAGCTGATGCATATCCTTGCCTAGAGCATGCCTGCTGGACACCACAGGGATCTGCTGATGGTGGTGGTGCACTGCTCTGGGGCACATATGTGCCAACAGCAGCAGGCTTCTGCCTTCAGTCCCACCACTCACCCAGAGAGGGTCAATCTTGAATCTTGGGTTTCTGTCCTGGAGTGGGATGGTTCCTTTGTGAACTGGTAGCATGATGGGTTTTGGCTAGAGTTACTCTCCGTAGCTCAAGGAGTTCTGGTTTCTCTGCATTGTGCTGGCAGACAAGTAACTTGCTGCAGAATAAATCTGCAGCACACCAGCTCACATTTATTGTCTCAATTTTCCTTTCAGCATCCTCAGTTCAATGGCATGAGCTGGTCACTGTGGCCTATGAAGGTGGCAGAAAGGATCTATGTACTAAATGTTACTAGATAGTTTGATAGGGATAGTTTCATAGAGTATTAATAACTGCTGTTTGACTGTGTTCTCAAAAAAGCCTATTTCTTTCTTCCTGTCTGACATCTTCCCTGTCCACTTCATTTAATTTCTGAAATCTAAGATATTACATCAAATTTCTAACACGAAGAGGTCAAGGAAGTAAGTCCATTACCATAACTGGAGAGCTGGGCTTTATCCTTAAAGCAAACCAGGTGTTTTATTCCTTACTTGGAATGAAAAACTTTCTTCAGGGAAATGCAGAAGACATGCTCCTATTCCCTTTTCTGAAGTTATGCGTATTACAGTCAGGTATTTTTCAGCAGCTTCTTAATAGGCAGATAAATGTAGCACACTGAAATTCTGAATTGATTCAATGCAATTTGCTAAACTTTATGATGTGTTTTAGTGAAGCTTCACTCCATCCACATTGCAGTTGTGTTTCCTCTACAAGCTGGCTTGCTGCCATAATGAGTGTTACTAGGTAGGTGGGAAAAAAAAGTATCACTATGCCTGCAGTTGTGATTCAGTAGAAGGGACTCAAATACTGTTCTTTAGACACTGAAGAATATGGTTGGCTTTTTGAAAAGGTTTGTTTATAACCAATCCTGTAATCACTGGAGCTGTAGATGGTCATTTTATCTAATACCAGTAGGTTCATATTTAAAAAATAGGAAAAGGAAAAAAAAACTTAGTCTGATACTCTGTTGCTTTTACAAGCAGAATTATGCTATGATCGGATTTCCATCACAGCCTCTCCATCAGGACAGGCCCTCAGGAAATAGGTGTTCCTTAACTTGGTATAATCTACGTGTGGCTGTCATTTCTTTAAGACGCTAGCTGCTGTAGTCATCACAGTTTAAACATGACTCTAATCATATCTTCCCTGTCAAGTGTTATTATCATTCTTTATGGCCTCCTTAAGTTTTAGACCAAATTACGAACTAGAAATGCAAAGGGAAACAGGGCTGAATGGCTCAAGCTCACTTTAAAGCACGTATTGTTTTCACCATCAATCTCGTGGATGAGATTCCAGTCAGTAGAATCAATGGTGCTTCAGTGATTCGTTTGAAGATGTGATTTGTTGCTGTATTTTTTCTGAAGGTTCCTAACTGAGTGAGGAACACGTTTTGTTTTCAAATTCTACTGCAGATGAGGATTACGAAGAGCATAAATCAGAATCATAATAAACAACTTTTTAATTATTAAATTGATTTGATTTGATTGTTATAGTATTGCTCTTATATCTTATGCAAAATTACATTGTTTTCATTTTGCAGCAAAACTAATTAAGTGGACCACGGCAGGGAGTAGTTAAAATTTTGCTGTCAATTAGAATTCCAAGAGCTGGGGTTGAATCTTGGGCTGTCAGTCAGTCTGCCACTTGTCAAAGGAGAGGAAGCTGTGTCTCCCCTAGACACACAGAAGGAAATGTCTAGCTGGTATTTAAAGTCTAGTCAGAATAGGGCTGAAGGATGAACAACATGTTATCCACTGCCATACCTCTTTGGAAGCCTGAACTTTTAGGGAGAGATGAAAAGGAAAATCAGTTGTCAGGGACCTCCTTCAGCTGTTTCTAATCATCTTGGTCTATAGGGAGGTACTGTAGAGGTTTTCTTAAGTTAAAAAAAAAAATAAAAAAAATTTTTTGACATGAAAAATACTTTCTTCATGGAAAACCTCAGCTGAGGAGCTCTTCAGCTGCTGTATCTTCAACATTTTCTCTATTTACCTGGCTGTCTCAGGCACCTGTTTGGTCTTTATGATCCTGATGACTTATGTAGCGGGTTCTGAAATTTTTATTACTCAGAATTTTTTTTAGTCAACAGGGAGAAGGAATATTGTCATTTAAGATTTTCACTCTTCTCTCTTTATTTACTTTTTTATTCCTTCTTTGCTGTATGGAAAGACTGGGAGAAAAAGGCTGTTGTAGGACTTTCGTCAGCTCCAGTCACGAGAAAGCTCTCTCAGTAATTGAATGTGTAGAAATGTGTAAAAAAAATAATGCATTAAAAACCTAACATGATTGAAGCTAGGATTAGTAATATGTAAAGATACAAGGATAAGCAGAGTATGTAGCCTTTAAATTTTCACTATTAGCCTGATATCAGACCACATTTGCAGTCATTGAACACTCCACTTTTCAAGTTGCAAATTTAACCTTGAGTTCTTTCTTCACATGTTACAGTGGGCTGTCCTTTCCAAATATTATGTGTACATAGAGTAACAGTAACTTTGGAACCACTATAGTGTTTAGTAAATGGGTTTAAGCAGATGGTATCACAAAGGGCCCAGAGGTAAATGACTGTCTTCCTCCATGCCTATAATGTTGTATGAAAAATACTGCCAGATCCCTTTCCCAAAGAGGATAGGCAAATCTTTTATTTAAAAAATACTTTGTGAAAATAAATTTTAAAAAAATAAAAATAAAGCCTTGTTGGAGACTTGAAAGAGTTTCTGTAATTTACTATTCTTTCTTTAAAAGTAATTATGTAGATGTAGATGATACAATATGTGCATCAATTTCTTATTTTCCACCTTTTGTTGCTTTTCAGATGTAAGGGTCCAAAAAGCATTACTTTTGGAAGTGCAATTTATATAAATTAATTTATTTAAAAAATTTTCAGAACTTTCACGTTTTATTGTGGTCTCATGCTTAAAATTATGCCGTACCTTTTATATCACATTCGAAAATTACAGTATGTTTTAAAAGAATACTATTAAAAAAGACTTTTTTTAATATTTGACTGTCATGCCATTCATCTTTGACTTTTTATTTGTTTTGGTCTCCAAAGAGGCTTGACCCTTGAAAAGGAGATGTGCCCTAAGAAGAAGATACCTCATTTATCCCTTATTCTATAAAATTGAGAGGGAAGGAGGGTTTGGTAACTGGTGTGTCTCAGCTACGGAGCTGCGTGACAAACCAGGCTGTTTCAGGAGATGGTTGCCTCCACCACATGCAGGCGTCGCACTGTCCTTCCTCTCTCCCTGCTGCCTTCCTTCTCTGAAGCTGGCAAGGTGTCATGGATAAGTTTCCTGCTCTCCTGGCACTTCTGAGAGCAGAATTTGTGTTGGTCCCAGTCCATTGGCATCTGATGTGAGAAGAATGCAGAATGCAGGGAGCAGAGACGTGGTATCTGTGTCCCAGTGATCTCCAGTTGGTTGTCTGCCCGATTCCGGAATGGTGGTTTTAACCCTTCCTGGGTCCAGGGCCAGGCCAGAGATGGAATGAACACCAGTAGTAATTTCTTACCTTTGGACATTATAAATAAAAATTTTAAAAATATTTTACATCCTCTCAATTTTGTAAAATATTGATGCTTTTAGGGTTTTTTTGCTAATACATTGATTTTGAACCATAAAGAAATATTGTGGGTGTGCATGGGTCTTTTGCAACTGATTCGTTGGTGCAGTCCACATTAACTGAAAATTGTTAATATAGAAAGTTTACCACAGAAGGTAATATATAACCAAGCTCAGTTCACAGACAGTTTGTGAGAAATAGATATTCCCAGAACTATTTTTTTTTTCACATTCTTCTTTATCCTGGAGTTTCAAAACTGGGGTGACTTTATATATTCCTCTTGGACACTTTGAAAGGGAAGAAAGAGGCATTCCTCCTTAATTTTTTGGGTGCAATGAAAATGGGATGCTAACCGCTCATGAAAGATGTGAAATTAATTTCCTACTTTTTTTCTTCTCTCCTTTCTTCCATTCCCCAGTATCATACTTTATCTCTGCCACTGTAGTTATTGGGTTTTCTGGGCAGTAGTAGCAGAGAAAATTGACAAAATAATTTAATGCTGCACCAAAGTAGGATTGTCTTTGCCTTTGCCTTTTGGAGTCCTTGCAGCAATGCAGTGACACTTCTAAAACTTAGTTCAATTTTACTTTTTCTGTTTAGAAAGCCTTAAAACAAACCCAAGACAGTTTAATTGAAAAACTTCAGGTCTTGTCTATATGCCTAGGCATATTTTCTTACTATTTTTCAAAAAGTCCTCACATGTATCTGCATAAAAAATGAGAAATTGTGTGCACATATGCACATGTATATATGTGTGTATATATAGTTCTTAAAACCCCCCAAGTCTCTTTTTTTTTCTTATAAAATGAAGAACTGCCTCCTGCTCTCAGTAGCTAAGTTCTGTACTTCTGAAGAGCAGAGGAAGCTGCTAAAAAGTTGGTAACATTCTGCAGTTAGCTAGTTCCCCTAAAGAGGACCCCTCGTGATCTAGTGGTTAGGATGCGGCACTCTCACCGCTGTGGCCTGGTTCGATTCCCGGTCAGGGAACTCCTCCGGGCAGATGGAGCTCGTCAGCCCTGTAAGGCCATCCGTCTAAGAGAAGGTCACTCTAAAAAACAAACCTACGTCCTGAGGACCTCGCTGCCACCGTCCAAGGTCGCTCGGCCCCGGCAGATGAAACTCAGGATTAAAGGGTGGGCTCAGTTCAGCGCACGCTGTGTCTCACCTAAAAAATCCACTGCGCAGGCTCGATGGGTAAAAGACCTTTCCCAAATCTTCATTTGTGAAGACTGGCCATGATGAGTTCCCCTAAAGGAGAAAGAATTATAATTACATGTTCTATTTTGAACAGGTGATTTTGAAAAGTGACCAAGCCATATTCCACTTCAAGAGAAGGTATTGGGACGTTGGGATGTTGTTTTGATAGGCCAAATGGTGTCTGCTTCAGCAATTTGTAGCATTTTATCATTGACAACTGTAGAGGAATGAGGCAGTCTATTTTGGTGGAATGGACAGATTTCTGTCCATCTGTGCTTGTATTACAGCATGTCACTTGTACTTTAGATCTGCATAGCTCTGAGCCAAGATAGAAGCCACAGCAAGGTCAGGAGGTGGAGAAGCCTGTCAGCACATTCTGTCTCTAATGATATGACAACTGCAAATTGGTGCTTCAGGAACAGCCTGGAGGCAGTCATTATGTTGGGTCTTGAAGCTCAGCTTTCTCTAATACTGTTTCAAAGGAAAATGCTAACTTCAGATGCTTCTGATCAGCGAGGAGTTTAATCTGTTGTAGTTTAACACAGTTACTTGCCGCGGTCCGAAGGGGGGATGGGACCGTGGCACAGCACTAGTCCGAGACACAAGGTAGGGTGCAAGTAGAATGCTTTATTGAGGCGTGCGCAGGATTCTTTATCAGTTCAGGCAGGGAAAGGACCAGAACATAGGGTGGGGTATGAGACAGACAAACGGGGGAGCAAATCAGGATAGGGGCACAGGCAAAAGAGGGAGGAACGTGGGAGGAACCGGGGAGAGAAGGGGCGAATGGAGGCTGTCTCCTCTCTGCAGCTTTTCCAGCCAATCCGCAGGAAAGCAGGGAAGCAGACAAGCCTGAACATGCCCGGGAAATACAAATTCTGGGGAAGCATACAATGTGTATATACATAATAACTGTAAAGTCTGTATCATAAAGTCCTTTCAATCACTGTACATCTTTTTCCACTTCTGAAATTTTCCCCATTCTGATTCCTGGTCCTTCACAGTTACTCCTGTGTTTCTTCAAAAAAAAGTCTAAAAAAAATAGGAGATCATGTATAGAATTGTATTGTTGTTTTTCATGAAAAAAATGGGTGGTGCTTCTTTCTAACAGCTGAAATGGATGGCTTTGCTATATTTCAAGCCTTTCTTTTTTCTCTGCATCCATGTATCTCCTGTCTTTTGCTTTTTTCTCTTCTTTCTTTTAAGTTTACACAGATCAATTCAGTTAATATTTTTATGATACTAGAGATTTGACTCTAGCAGATGACCTTAAAGTTATGCTGTTTTTCCTCTGTCTCACCAGTGCCTACCAGATTGTTGTTGAGGAGCTGCACCCGCACCGAACAAAGCGAGAAACAGGTGCAATGGAGTGCTACCAAATCCCTATCACCTATCAGACTGCTCTTAGCGGAGGGTCACCATATTACTTTGCTGCTCAGCTGCCTCCAGGAAACCTGCCGGAGCCAGCCCCTTTTACTGTGGGTGACAACAGGACTTACCAAGGTTTCTGGAACCCACCGTTGGCTCCTCGGAAAGGGTACAACATCTATTTCCAGGCCATGAGCAGCGTTGAGAAGGCAAGTGCTAACACCACCTTTCTTCTGGAAGGAGTCAAAGACATGCCTGTAGTGGCGATTAGGGCCATTGGAGTTGGACATAGGAGGTGTTGGCAGTGGCATAGCTGTAATCCTCTCTGTGCAGTGAGAGCGTGGCAGTGCGCCATTCACATTTCATATCACCATCGTGTCCTAGTAAATTACTTAGATGAGAGTTTAATACGTCTCCTAGTAATTGTCTGAGGAAAGTAATTTCAGTGTTGTGACTCTGTCTCCTCGGTAAATAATATCCTCAGTCCTTTCTCTAATTCTCAGTCCTTGCACACTTCAAAAGATTAAATTACTGCAGGACGAACAGAATGTGGGCTGTTCAGCGGGCTAGTAAAACATTGCTAACTTTGTGAGACTCTTGCACTGAACGTCTAAAAAGTAAAAGTTTGCTTGAGCAAAACTCAAGGCCCACTGTGTGTTTGCAAGAGTCTTTCTGAGAAGGTGTATGTCAGACTTGCACCACTGCTGTGCAGTAGTAGAAGTGTATCTGTCACCTCCTTGGTGTTTCCTTTTACCTCTGTTACTGAGTACTGCTGCTGGCTCTGTATTCATATGGAAGGACTAAAAGTGCCAGGGAGAGAGGTTCTAGGTGGGAAGAACAACTCTGCAAGCCCCATGGTGTTGCTCTTTAATGGTTTTTCCTTTTGTAAATGAAAAATAAGGAAAGGGAAAATGACTGTTGAGGAGGGAAAATGTGGTACACACATAAGCTTTAGATATATAAAAATTTAAAATTTTGGTTTATAGTATAGAAAACTGAAGTGTCCAGGCAGGTCAGAAAGGAACTAGAAAGGACAACTAGATTGATAGCCACTGATATGCACCCAAACCTTTGGAAAGGAGCAGAAGCAGTGTTTACCCTTCTTTACATTTAGGTTTTTGTGGAGACTAAACAAATCCTTGCTAACAGGCAGCCTTGCCTTGGAGTCTTTCAAAGAAAATTTAACCTTTTACTTATGGTTATGGAAATTGGATATGCATCAAGTGAGAATAGGGACAAAGCTGTTTGAGAATTAGATGGTTTTTTCTGATTTAAGAGACCATTCCCTCTTTTTAGTCCTTATCTATAGACTGTATGAAGTAAACAAAACAAAATAAGAGGTGACTGCTAGACACTCATCTGTATTTCCCTCACCTGTTAAAAATAATTCCCTTTGTTTTTGTAGGCTTTCAACAGACTACATTGTAAGGAAATTTGTTTCATTACCCAAGAAATAAGGGAGAGGGAAAAGTAAAATAGAAATACTAAATTAAAAAAGTAGGTCTCAATTTTGGCTTTTACGTTTTGACAGATAAGTAGAAGCTGAGAGAAGAATAGAATTTTTTTTGCTTAAACTTGATTTCAGTTTGTGAGAGAGTTTAATACTAAAATGGATTTCTCTGTTATGATTTAAAACTTTGGATCCAATTTCTGTTCTTAAAGGGATTTAGGGGGAAATTTTGAGGGGGACTGCACCACATTCTGCTGGGACAGAGACCTAGTGGTTGTAACATAACCTCTGAGCTGCAGAATATTTAAACAGATGCTTTACTATAAACTACCAGGATCACCAAAATAGGCAGAGGGAAGTAAAGTATGCTCTGAAATACACGGTAGGGTTGAGAGGAGGGTTACTCTGTGATCCTGGAAGATATTGAACAAAAGTGGACAAGTAAATCCAGTAACTGGGGATAATAAGTAAGATTATATTTGGTAAACTTTGTGGGGCTTTCATATAGATGGAAAAATTGTCTTATGGAACACTTACAGTGCCTCAGCTTAGGCACTGTAGAGCTCTTTACAAGCTGTGTTTACAAACCAGCATCAACCTGGTTTTTTTACCTGTTGCTTTGGAATCTTCAAGATGAGAGAGACCCCAGGGGATTTATTCAGGGATGAAGTGCTGGGAGGTGCAGAACTAGAGAGAGGATATTTTATAGAGTGAAACTGTCATTATTATATTTTCAAATTACGTGCTAATATTGTTTAGAGAAATCTAATACAACAGCAGTTGTATCCTCTCATGCAACCTTATGCTATTTCAGTATTTTTGCCTTTAAAATGACTGCACATTGTACAAAAAGGTCAGAAAACCCATTTATGACTGATCCTCAGCTCTTCAAGTTGTCCAAACTGGGCATAACTGAGTAATTTCTCTGTTCATTTGTTTTAATTGCTGAACAAACTTCTGAGGGGAAGGGAGGGAAAAGTAAAGTTACATAAAAATTGTCTTTGCATGTGCAACTTCTGAAGCACATCGCTGTTGAATCACTGTGTCTCCTAGGCAGATTGTGTAAGTTTTAGATTAACTGTGTCATCTGTGAAGGGATACCTGGGCTGCTCTGTGCTCATTCCACATGCAGAAGCATGGGGAAGTGTGTTGCTGATGTGCTTCAGGTGACTGTTTAAGAATGTCAGAAGGTAGCAAGATGTAAGTTTGGAGACAGTGCTGAGCAAAAGTATCTTCTTTGCTGCACAGTGCTGTTGGAGGTCAACACTGGCTCAGGATTTCTGTGCCATGACATAAATAGGAGCACCAGTCCTCCCATTTCCTTCCACTGCACTCTCTTCGTGTTTCTGTGGCATGATTTCCATTTGATTTGAATAATCTGAAATTTTTCTGTGTTTGGCCTGTCCTGCACCTTTTCTCCCCATCATTTTTCCTGGACAGTACAGTCTAATGTCTAGTTTTCATCCAGCTTTTGTAAAGGCAAAATCCCCCAACCTCCTTCTCTGCTAAGCCCAGAGCCCTGAGCCACCTCATTGAGTTTTCCCAATGTGATCAGTAGATCTAGGATGAATCTATGGAGTGGAGAGGGCAAGAAAAAGCAACCTGATTTGACTGTTTTCTTTACTTTTCTGTCCTCAACAGGAAACCAAAACTCAGTGTGTTCGAATAGCTACAAAAGGTAAGAGGTTTGTCCCCACACGCAAAGTAGCTTTTTTTAAAGAAACGTGGTGTTTCTATTAAATGTTTGAAGCAAAGCCAATAGTATCCCTCTATTTTGAACCACCTGATTATCTTAAGATGTAATGGTCTACTACTTTTTATTCTTTGGTATTGGGCCAAGACAGTACTGTTCTAGCAATACTCAGAATTTAGGACAAAATAAAATCTCCTCTTTTTTTCCCCCTCCCTGTCTGTGATTTTCAAGATATGCTTTTAGGGTGCTAAAACATTTCAGGCAGCAGATAGATGGATGGGAAGCTGGAAAGTGCATGTGGTTAAACTGTCTGTTATGCTGGCAATTATTTACAAGCAGGGGAGGGAATAATTTAAATGAAGAACACAACAGTTAATTTTCCTAAGAACTCCAAGTGTTAGCTAGACATAGGGGAGGGTTGATTTGAGGAAGGTTTGTCTCTTTGATAGCAAGTGAGTTCCAGGGCTAGGACTGACTGCATAGCTGTGAGAATAAATCATGTTGACCCCATATACAGCAGGTTAATCACATACTGCTCACTCAGAAACACTGTTTCATCTTCAAATGAGGACTTAGTTGTTCTGCTTATTGTTATCTCTCGCTTTGACTGTATTTATAGCTATTCGTTTTGGTGGCTCGATCGTGTGGACATGAGAGTTCTTTGATAGACTCTGGCAGCATAAACAAGAAAGGAGCTTACAAATGCCTGAAGAGTACTCTGCAGAGGCCCAGCACTTACGTTGTCTCTTTCTAATTGCATATTGATATTTAGCATAAAAACAACTTTTGATATGAGCAAGCAGGCATTTAAAGTACTGAGGAGGCACATCAATCCCATTTTTCAGTAACTTTTTTCAATTTAAATCTTATTCCAATTACAAGCTGATGCCTGTAATGAGGTGGTAGCAATCACACATTTTCTTGAGAAACCAGAAAATAAAATGTACTTCTCAAGATGTGTTAATATTTTTATCAAATGTGGTAAGCTAATAAAAACAGGAAATTAAAACCATGAGCTAAGTCTTCTGTGAAAGGTACATCAGCCTTATTTTTCTTATGTTTACCTGGTACGATTAAATGTTTGAATTAAAATATATTTGCATAAACAAATATTTATGTACCACAAGCATGTATTTCTAGAATTTGAGTCAAGGGAGAGTCTTGAAAGGCTCAGAAATAACCTAAAATATTGCAGGACTGAGGAAGGGGAAAACAATGGTGTCTCTCATAATAAATTTTCTGGATAGTAATAACAAAACAAGGAGGGAATTGACTTTAGTATAAGAAAACTATTTTTTACTTAATCATACACAGTCCATGGATCTCAAAGCAATGTTCATGGTAGCAACAGACCTCTTGGTGGTTGCTTGTACACCTTCCTCTGCTTGCAATAGTCACATTCACCGGCAATGGCTGTCGATTGAAGGAAAGGGGAAATGAGTAACAGGTTTCTTACCATTGTGCCATATGTCCTGCCTTTACCACTCTGAATACAGTTTCTTAAGTAAGTGCATTGCCTGATATATCAGTGCTAAACTCCTTGAAAGTGGAACTAAAACCCAAAATGTTTTCTCTGACTTATTTTACTTTGTAGGTGTGAATTGCAGGTGGAGGCAACATTAGGAGTAAATGCTTTCTCTTCCTCTGACGGAATTCATTTAATGGGGCATCATCCCTTCAAAGTCATGTACATTCATACTTCTCAAATGAGTTATACTGTTATTCTAAAACATTTTTTATGAACTCACACAGATTTTTTCCCCCATGTTTTCATCGTAATAATGATACCATGATTTGTTGTACTCAAAGAAAACTATACTTAATATATTGGTTTATGCATATCCTGGTTTGTTTTGGTTTCTTGGTTTTTTGTGTGTTTTTTGTTTGTTTGTTTGTTTTGTAGTGTATAAGATCATTTTGAATCATTGACCTAAATGTCTGGTTACATTTGTAATATTTTCATAGGGAAAAGAGGACTGTCTCATCTTACCTAATGCACTCCACTAAAGCTAACATACCCATTTAAAATCAAAAAAATTGTCTAAACTATGTATTCTGTTATAAAAGTAATGTGTAGTTCTGTGTTATCTCCTGTGACTTGAAGCAGCCTACAGTTTGCCAAACTGAATTTTGTCTTGAACATGTTGAAAAGGCATTAAAAATTATAAAATGCTGGGGTGGAAGAGAGCAGGGAGGAACAACATTAAAGAGAATGTTTAAACAAGACAAAATTTCCCTGGAAGTGAAGTTCAGTGTTACTGTCAAAGTTAGTTTCTCATCTCTATCTTGTTCAAGCATCTGGTGTTATCTACTGTGTATATTCATAGCAATAAGATGTAAAGGTGGAAAAAATATGATAGTAATACCATGGTTTGGTGCTGGAGAAGTTCATATCCCTGCAGTTGTAATCTTGATAATTTAACTTTCTTAGGTCTATTGTTTCCTTGCTTGGACAGTTTTTCGTTTGCTTGGACAGTTCCCTGTATAATTTACATATATTTTACTGCATAAGGGATCTCGCACGTATTGTTCCCATGGGTTGGCTTTTGCCTTCAGAAATTGATGGAATAGTTTATTGGTGTCAAACTAATGAAAGTCAGCAAATTTAAATTGAAGCACTCATACTTTTTGTAGTCTGTATATTCCAGGTGCAGTGTTCTCATGCACTTCTGATAACAAAGTGCACTGAAGTGTCAAGTCATTTAAAAGATGGTGCCGAATCATGACTAAAGTATGTTGCTGCTTTTGATGTGTCTTGAAAGAATGTTTTTAGAGTGAACTGAAAGGCTTACTAGTGTGTGGTATATTAAAATACACTGAGTTAAGTTTTCATTATAGAAAATATTGGAACAGCATCAATTTAAAAAGTAGTCTCCTGAGCAGTTCCTGTGTACTTGCAGCTGAAGGATAAATGCCTGAGTGAATCTTTGATGGCCCTGATTTAGGCTAATAATAGAATTCCTCCTTTTTATGGACACCTACTTCCACAACGCTTGTAAGAGTTTAATGACTCTGACTTTTGCCCTTCTGTAGACTGGAGTGAATTGGCCAGGACAGTCCCAAGTAGTTAGATGTGAGAGAGTATGCAAGTTATACAGACGTACACAGTCTGTTCATATAAGCTTTGATTCTTGAGGAAACCAGGTTAAAAATAATTCCTTGTGTCACAGATGATGATGAGTACCTAAAGCACCATTTCCATTACAGGTATAGCCCAGAAAATGTATTAAGTGTGAATGATTTTAATTTCTTGGACACTTTTAGCTGATACTGCCTTACTCCATCAACCTGAACCCTCTCCTCATTCAGAGCCTCTTAGTAGCTCATGATCGGCATAATTTTTATTTTTTAACACCACTTCATTGTTCTCTACCTCATTATTTTTGAATCTATGTAGTAGGATTACCCAGTCACTAATAATCTGGTTTCCCATACATAGTAACTGAAGAAGAAGGAAAAATAATAATCTTGTTTTCTGAAGAGCAGAGAAGAGTACAGAGACTGAGATAATAGGTCAGATTTTCATTAGGAATGGAAAGATGGAATTATGCTAGAAAATATGTGTTATTTGATTTTTAAAAAAAGTGTTACATATAATTTCCTAAAGAAAGTTCTTGAACTTCCTAATACTTAGTAAGGCAGAGTTCAACTATGGAATCATAGAATTGTTAAGGTTGGAAAATACCTCTAAGATCATGAAGTCCAACAATCAACCTAACACCACCACCATACCATGTTCATAGGTGCCATATCCACATGTTTTTTAAGTACTTCCAGGGATGGTGACTCCACCACTTCCATGGGCATTCTGTTCAAATGCTTTACACCCTTTTCATGAACAAATTTTTTCTAATATCTAACCTAAACTCCTTCTGCCACAACTTGAGGTCATTAACTAGTTCATAATATGCACGTCAGAATGAATATGTGATAACCAAACCTGCCTAACCAAAGTATTGATAGACTAAAGTAAATAAAAGATACATGCACTTCAGAGTAATACATGTTGGTGACTGATCAGTCATATCCTGGAGTTGAGTTTGACTGTATAAAATTTTGAACGGATTTCCACTCACAGCCGGGCATTGGCATTTCATTTTACAGTCTAAAATGTTATCGACTGCTCAGGGAATGAAACTAGATTAACGTGGTCAGAGAAGAGTGATGCTTCAAACTATTTAGCATGTAAATAGATATTTAAGAGGACAGAAGGGACAGCAGAGCTATTACTAAACAGAGTATATGAAACTGACATTTGTGACAGTTTTCCGGCTGCCAAGTTTGAGGCTAATACTATTCTTTTGTTTTGTTTAGTGGACTAGAGAAACACTTTGAAAATTTAATTAGAAGAAATATACTGTGGGAATAAAAAAGTGGTGGGCCTGGCAGCTCTATCACAAAGTAGTTAGAGGGAATAAATGAAGCCCAAGGTTTCTCTTTCCACATTTAAAACAAGAACTTCATCAACTCCAACATTATTTTCCCTTGTGGTTTTCATTTGTGTTGTTAGTTCAGGCAGAATAGAACCTCTCTATCTCTGTGCACATTTGGTTCATGCAGACGGATGAAAATGCCGTTTGAGATGATGCACATCTGGAAGTAATTGTGAAATAGCAGAAAATGACTTTTTAATCTGATTTGAGGAATAAAAAGGTCTGGGTGGTAACATTTCTACTGCAAGTGTGTATTTAGTCCACCATCATTATTGCTCTGAATTCATTCCCACAGCAGTTGGGAATTGATCCAAAGGCCTTTGATGTCAATGGGAGTCCTTCCACTGACATTAATGTGCTTTGGATTAGGTCTTTAGAAGTCATAAATCTGTCTAGACTGTAATTATTTCTTTGAAATTGTTCCTGATGGTGTTTCTGCTCTTAGGGAAATTTGTGAAAGTCAAATCACCTCCTTTTGCAGGATGCTGAAAAATGTCTGTTACCGATTAATGCACAAATGAAGGGAAGATGTCAGATGCTAAATGTATCTGA